TCCCCCCCCCCCCCGTTTTGTCAGTCACGTCTTCTTGCTATAAAGTTCAAGAAAATACATTTTTTCCTCACTGAAATGTGTCATTTTGTGTCAATTTCTAAATTAGACACATTAACAGCCCCTCCTGTGAGGAGCATCATCTGCGTCACCTGACAATACTCCACTCTTCTTCTTGGTGATCCTTCCCATCACCAATTAAACATGCACTTTCGCTAAAAGGTGAATGAGTTCTCCTCCTGCTTCCCTTTTTTAATCCCTTTCTCTGCTCTAGTAGCCGAGTCACATAAATTGGACTGAAAACAAAGGCAAAATGAGGAAGTTTTATGACAACCTTTCTAGCATCACACCGCTGGGTGTCACTATGGATCCTGCGTGGATATGGGTGGATTTCTGTTTTCATCCTAAACCAGCAACTTTTAAGGATTTGTACAATATCGGGAGCTACTCACGTTCTCCTTCAGGGCTGTATTTCAGAATAAACCCTCTGCTCCCACTGGCTGTTTCAGGATGTTTTCAACTCGGTGATCGCGGCGGTGTTCCTCCTCATCGTCTGCCTGTGTGCAGTAATCCTGGGGACCAACACGGGGACGCTGGCCGGAGGAGTAAGTAGGAGGATTATTAACAAATTTCAGGTCTTACAGTAGATGTGGCATGCACCTCGTGGTGTACATTGTGGTAAGGCTGTAACAGGAACTCTGACGTGGAAGGACATAGGCAGAAGTCACAAAAAAAGTGAACACACGTGCAATATATGTCACTAAAAAAACCAAATCTTCAAATTACTACTAATTCAAAGATATCACTAGACTTAGGAATTACTACAGAGATGTAGAATCACAATAATCACAGAACGGTTTGGGTTGGAAGGGACCTTAAAGCCCCCCCAGTGCTACCCCCTCCCTGGGCAGGGACACCTCCCACCACACCACGTTGCTCCAAGCCCCCTCCAACCTGCCCTTGAACCCCTCCAGGGATGGGGCAGCCACAGCTTCTCTGGCCAACCTGGGCCACGCCCCCCCCCCCCCCCCCGCCATGATGGCGGTGGACAGCGGCTTCCCCCGCTCCCTCCGGGGCGCCATCAAGCTGGCCCGGGCGGTAAGGCCTAAGGAAAACGGGCCGGGCCCCCCGCCTTCAGAGGGGGACGGGGGTCAGCGGG